TGTATTCGTTAGCATTGTTGAGCACACATTCCACGATACCACTTGGCGGGGAAATGGGCAGAACCGTACAACCACAGCTCCTTTCTCGAGCGCGTCAGTGAGGAAAACACAATAGGCTCCGCCCACCTGATTAACGTGGAATGAGTGTTTAACAATAAGAGCTACTAATAACAGTCATTGCCCTACTAGCTTGGTTCAAGAAACTAGCTAACCTTTTTTCTGTATCCTTTTCCCAGAAGGAAGGAGCCTGCCGTGAGCTACTTAGGATCAGATCTTGAATAATGGGTGAATACTAAGCCAGGCATTTAATCCTTGTGCCATCAGTTTTATCCTCAGACCTAATGACTCACCACTCCCCCTTTCTCACCTCTAGTTTCGGTGTTTTGCCCAAATCGTGTTATTGAATGTGTCCACAGGTAGATATCCTGTAAGTTAGGAGAGACTGAGATTACTGTAGAATGTACTGTAAATTAGTAATTGTGTACTGTAAGTGTGCTGTATTTCCTCGTGTACGTTATGCTCATCATCCATTCATCATTGATTATATAGGATAATTAATGCTGCTCTTTTATTCCCATATTGTTCTCCAAGTGCAATTGCGGACTTTTTTCTGCCTCACAATTGGAGCTGTGGCCTTGATTGACTAAAATTGTAAGAATTTTTATAATAAAACATGAAAATATCACTCATCAGTATTGATATTTATTTTCTTCAATCACCAGCATTTATCACAATAGGAATGTTCACATATATAGTGGGATCACAATCGATTTATTACAATACAACGAATTTTGATCAATTATTGATCGATATTCATATAACCTGATGACCAATGGAACAATGGCCTAAGGCAAGAGGCACCGTACTTATTTATGCTATTTTTTGGGTTAGGATAGGTAAGTCCACTAAGAGTAGGAAGGCAATCAATATCAGAGGTGGAATCAGAGTGATCTTTCGAAATTCTTACTGTACAGCCGACATTAAGTCACCCCCCCCCCGACACCCCCGCTCAGAGTTGTTTTATTTTTTCTTACCCTTCTGGAGCTTTTTAGAATTTTTCGTTTGGAAAAGGAAGTTGAAAAGGTGACTGTAAGCGACGGAATCCCGCACATGAGAGAAGTCCCGGTGGAATTAATTCTTACAGTACAGCGAAGCGGATACGGTCGCAACAGAGCATGTCCGTAATTCTTCACTGCCTGATCGCGATAAAGTTGTGTAGTCGCGGTTCGGATAGAGCATACTGAACCTCTCAGAATGGCCGGAATGGTTGAGACGGAACCCAGATCCGCGACGCAGCCGCACGCGGCCGTCCCCGTGAGTTGCAAAATTTGTCTCGGCATGCTTTTCGTCAATTCATGCACCAACATGCGGTTGGTCTGTAACCCCGCTATCCTTTATGTATATGTATGCAGAAATGAGGTCACTTTTGAGGGCTAGAACTTGTGGATGGACCGTCTGGGTTTAGCTCGTCCCAGAGCTTGAGCCTTGGTGGTTAAAAGTTCTGTCTGAGGAGCCCTTGCTGCAGATACTGCACATGGGAGCTCGAGTGGCAGTACTTACAGTCTTGTCCTGTGAGGATGTAGGGGCGTTTCAAGCGAGAGGAGCCTGCTCTTTTCGTAGAAGTTGACAGGCGACCACAATTGGAAGAGAATAGGCTGGCTTCGCACCAAACCCACCCCCCCCCCCCCCTCCTCTGAAGGGCCACAACGTCCGCAGAGAACAAGATGTACCGACATGGAAAAGCAGGTCAGATTGGGAAATACGGCTACCGATTGTCATCCAAGGTATTTGGGGAGTTCGACGGTCAGTCCTTAAAAGCATCAGGCAGGGAACTAAACTGTTGGAACTGAACGTAGAAGTGCTCGGAAGGTCAGCTAAACATTTTGCGCTGCGACGGCCCGGAGATGGGGAAGTCGTGCACGGCGTCGCGTGCGCGGCATCTGTTCCAGGACCTCAGTGGTTTGGTGCGAAAGTGCTACAGCAGGCGGAGTCAACTCCC